CCCCAAAACCCCAAAACCCCAAAACCCCGAAATGAAGAGTACTTGATTTTATTTGAGAATTTAAATTTAAATTGAAAATATGAATACAAACAACAATCCTTTTTTGAATCAAATCAAATATGAGGATGATGATGCGGTAGATGCAATAGAGATGGCACCATCCGACACATCTTATGATAACTAACAGCAGTTCATGCAGCACCAGTCAAGTCAATCTAGTATTCATCACCCTTAGATCATCAGCTAGACTTAAGTGCAATCCTTATAAAAATCAAACTCTTAAAATCAAATCCAATAGCCTGTAATTTTCCCTCCTAGACAGTTTCAACAGCATCAATAGTAGAATTACTAAGCACCACAGCACAAATTTATAAGTCAAGCATCAAGCAACTCACAATTGATTTAAAATTCATACCAAGGAGCTTCTTAATCAAAGGAAAGAGACTAATCTCAATCTATTTTGAATCTATCTGACTCTGTAGAGCAAATTTCTCATTCGCAATAGCAGCCAGTTAGTAGTAATTAAGGCTAACCCTCAGCTCTTGTAAGGCAACTTTCAGAAAAAGTTAGATCTCAGGCTGAGAGATTGCAAAGACTGGAATCTTATAAATAACTATGTGAAAAGCGTATTGTCGAATTAGACTCCAAACACCCAGTTCCTGTACTTCCCCAGCACATGGGCTAGAAATCATTTTCTTAAGGTGAGTAACCTTAGAGCATGGCAGAAGTCAAAAGATAATTAGCAATTAAGGAATAAGATCTCATGTATGCCAAGCAAAGAAACGAAAAATTACTATAAGAAATAGATAACCTGAAAAAGAGCAATTAATCGAATGAATTACAGATTAATTCAGACTAGACTTAAGAAGCACTGAGAAGAGAGATTTAGATAAATGAATAGCTCTCAAGACAGTTAGAAGTCTTGAACTAAGGTAATATTCTTGACAAGATTAAGTAACTTGAGGATGAGAAGAATGCTCTACTAGACTACATAGAGGAGAACATTGAAAAATCTCAGTAAAACACAAATCGATCTCTCTCTGAAGCTAATAATACTCAAGATAAGGTAAAACAGCTTGAGTATGAGAAGAGTAAACTTTTCTAACTCTGTGAAAACTTGAAATACACAGAAGCATAGAACCGTCAAAAGGTTATAGAACTAGAAGAGCAATTAAGCAGAGGAGCTCCACCTCAGGAATTAAATGGCTTAAAGTAGTAATTACAAGAGATCTAGCAGAGATACAACTCTAAATGTGAGGATTACAATAGTTTGGTATAAAAGATAGATCCCAATTTCTAAGAGAATACGTTTGGAAACATTGAAGATTTGCAACAAAAACTAATCGATCTGAATTCATTGTAAAGAGAGTTAGATTTTAGCAAGGAATAGTTTGAGTCAACACTCGGTAATGTCAAAAAGGAAAGAGACTCAATGAAGTCAAGAATTGATACTTTAGATCAAAGAAATATGGACTTAGAAGAGAAACTAAGAAGAGTTGAGAAGGAAAAAGAGGAGTTATGGACAAGAGCGAAAGATCAGTATCAGGGTGAGAGTGAAAGAGTAGATGAGCTGTTGTATGAAAATGACAATCTTAGAAAAGAACTTGATAAGCAACATTTAAGAATCAAGACTCTATAAGAGAACTCAAGTACTTTATCGTAAACTCTAAATGAGACTTAGTAAGAATTGGAAAATTTAGTGAATGATCATGAGAAACTAAGTGAGGAGTACTAACGAGTCAAGTTGATAAGTGAAGATCTTGAAAATGAAAGGGACAGGCTACAGAATCAAAATGAGGAATTTGAGAGAGAGATTTAAAAGCTCAGAGTTGATGTAATTGAGTTAAGAAAAGAAACTGCAAGACAGAGAGACGATTTGTCATAGAATCATATTTAGATCTCCAACTTGAATGACTAGTTGTACAGAGCAGATATAGACAACCGAGAAATAAGGCATAAATTCTAGCAAGTCTAGACTGAACTCAACCAAGTCTAAACTCTCCAGCAAGATAGAATCGACAAGCAGTCAAAGGAATGGGAATACACCATTGGTGATTTGACCAGAGAACTTAAGTACGTTTAGGGCGAGTTGACTGAGAAGGAGAACATATTCTAAAGAGTAGAGTAGGAGTTGAAGAACAAGTTGATGTGTCTCGAAGAGGTTACTTCAGAGAAGATTGATCTGAGAAAGAGAATTGACGACTTGCAAAGTGAGTTGAGGCACATACAAAATGCTAAGATTGAAAAGGAGGAGAAGTTAAAGATGTAGATACACAAGAATGAACAGCTGCTCGAGGAGTTGGAAAGATTGAATGAGGCTTATACCACCATTAGAGATGAAAAGGAAGCGACACTTGTGGTTAAAGTAGAGAAGGAGAGGGAAATTGAATACTCTCAGAGGTAACTATAGAAGATTAGAAAAATTGCTGAAAGAGTGATGAAGAGTCTCAAATCATTATCAAAGTAAACTCAAGACTTTACATCTGAGCAGAGAATGAAAGCAGTTACTTCTTAGTAGTCTTTACTTAGCAATTAAAACATTAAGACATGTAGCAACTAGGATGGTTCTACATCGCAAGATCCTGAACCATTGCTTCTAGATTCAGAGCAGTACATCTACCATTTAAATGAATCCTTCACAGCCATCTACAGCCAGTACAAGTATCAAATTAAGTAGATTAGTGAGCTCAAGTCAGAGCTTTCTCTTGCCTAGTAAAAGATAGTTTAACTAGACTCACAATGCAAGAATATGAGTGAGGAGGATGTCGACGTCAGAGAGAAGATAAGGTATATGGAAACTGAAATTGATACTTTGAGGGAGAAGCTGAGATTGAAGGATGAAGAGAAGAAAGAGCAGTACATGAGGGAAGATAAGATTCAAAGATAGAATCATTAGATCAAGCAGCAACTAGAAGTGTGCAGGAATGAACAAGAAAAGTTGCTGATGCAGATCAAGTCACTGTTGGTTGAAAAGGAGAGACTGAATGAGGAGAACAAGTAAAGAATTGACATGGCGGAGAATGATCTAGACAGAGTTAAGCAGTTGGAGGTCAAACTGTCATAAATATATACTCAAAAGGAAATGCTTATGGGACTACTAGAAAAGATCAAGGAGGGCATGCCTACTGATAATCTGCAAAGAATAATTGCTGAGATAATCGCAAGTATTAACGAGCGATTCAGAATTGAAGAGGAGTGTTAGAGCTGCGAGAGCTAATTGCTTCAAATGGAAGGAGAATTGAGATAGTTTGCTAAGAAAGAGAATTAAGGCCTGACCTTGCTGAGTACTAAGGTGATTAACATGAGAAAGGATGTTGATAAGCAGAGACAACTATTAAGAGAAATTCAGGAGCAAAAGGAAATTATCTAAAAAAGAATTGAAAGTTTAGATTAAGAACTTAGATGTACTGAGTTAAGTGAAAGAAGAAGGTGTGATGTTGCGCTAGATACTGAAAAGACATTGACAGAGGCAAAGTTTGAGATTTCAAACTTAAAGAGAGAAATATAATTTGTGAATTCAAATAGAAAAGATTTAGAAGTAGCACTTGCAGCTGTTTAAGAGGAGAAAAAGATGATCGAAAGGGAGCTATTATCACTAAGAGCTTAACTTCAAATGAAAGTAAACAATAGCAAATAATCAACCATGATGAATCCTCATGCATCAACTCTACCACCTCTCAATGCTGGAGCAGCATTGAGGCAGGGTGATCTTCTTTTCAGCAATACTAATTCATAACTAAACAATAACAATATCAATCACAATGCTACAAATAACAATAGCATGATAAACAACATAAATGCTACCAATAATATTGGAAATTATGATAGCTTGATATCTCAAAAAGATGGGAATTAAAGCCAAATCAATAATACTAACAATATGATTAATCTTTAATTCTAAAATCAGACTAATAAAGTGCTGCATTTCACTGAGCAGAAGGCTAACAATAATGAATTATTGTTACTGGCAGATAGATTTACATCAGCTGAGAAGAATCAAAGAATAATGCTCACGGGTGGAATGAATTCCTCCAGAAATTAATCTAGATTAGGTAATCCATTGGATGACGCTGAGAATATACAGCCAAATAGGTTGAATCTCGGAGTGAATTTACTTTCCTAGAATAACAATCAATTAAACAACAACAGACCAGCAACCTAGTTACAACACTATAAGAGCTTTTAATCACTTGATCAACCATTAAATTACTCTGAAAAGCCAATCAGCTCTCATCAGACTAGTATTTAAAGGCCACCACTTAACCAGACTAACTAAGCGACAAATGGTGGCAATAACCTAAGTATGCTTAACAGAAATGACAATATTAATAACAGTATAAATTCCTTCAAGCGGCCATTAACTAACAGATCTGGTAGCTAGCAAAAGCTAGGTCGTGATTATGAAGATAGCCTTGATGAGTATGGAGATGAAAAAGAGTATCCAATTAGAAACTCTCTAAAGTAAAGGTTGAATTAAGTTAAAAATGTGTTCTCAGCCATCAGAAGAAATCTTGAGGACCAAACAGACTCTAATATTGAATAGAATCTATGAAGAAAATAAGTCAAAATTAATTAGCACACTTGAATACTTGCTTTACTTTATTGTTATCACCAATAGCTCTATAAATACCATTAATTTGGGTTTAATTACTCTAATCTATCATTTGGCTATTTTTACAATAGAGGGGTTTTGGGGTTTTGGGGTTTTGGGG